TGTAAATAACGTGTGTACATTCGCAAGAAGCGGTCTATTCATACGGATTACTTAAACCCATATTTAGTGGATGGTTATTGAATAATAATTATCAAAAAATAATAACAGTACTAATAATATTATTATATCTGAAATATTACCTTTTTCCATTTGAACAAAAATATCATCTTTTTTTTCATACACTTTTATAGAAGTACATACACATAATCTACAGGCGACAAACACCATGTAAAATAAACAAAAAGACTCAAGCTTATAAAAACTACTTGGATTTCATTTTCTATGTGTACAAGACTGTTGTTAACTAAAATATGATCAAATAGGTAGCACTTTTCCAAGATACATTTTTTTGTAAAGTTCAGTTTATTTCATGTAGCTAAGTTTTGAGTTATTTACGTTAAGAGTTGGAATGTAAAGGGAGTACTTATGTATTAGACATTGATTTTAAGCTAAAAATAATTCTGATACTTATTGCATTTGATTGCATAATTTTTTTTTTGGTCAATCTAATTCAAAGCCTGACGTTGTGAAAACGTCAAGTTCTGTTAATGGAAATGATTTTGCTGGATGTTTTTATGTAGTTTTCACGAGATATAGTTGTTGCATTAGAAAGAACCAATATACAACGAATTATGGCATTCGAGTGTACATGAAGATCATTAAGCTATTTTTTAAACACTGTAAGTAATAATGCAAGATAAAAATCTTACTTTAACTAAACTATAAGTCATATTTATTAAGTTTAAAGAAAATTATCAAGCATAAATGCATTAATAAAATAATCTGCTTTACCTTGTTCTGCAGCAACGCTGGGCAAGTAAGTTGCGGTTTTTTTATTACCCTTTTCGTTATGGAATTCAATTCTAATTCCATGAACACCAATAGTCCAATCAAGATAATCAGAGCCATCTTCAAAGTGTTGCAAAATTGAAACACTCACGTGTAATCGAGGAAGTTCATCTTTTGTGATCGGATTAAATCTTGTATCTTTAAAGGCACTAAAAATGTTAAATTTAAATAAATATAAGGTTTTTTAAATGTTTTCGATAAAGATTACAGTTGATTAGAATTTTACAATAAATAATACACCTGCCTTACACAAAAAAAATTTTTCAAACTAGTAAGCCACTTAGTATTGTGAAACACTCAATTTACAATTTTTTTCAGTTTAAAAAAAATGTATTGTATTTGATTATTCTAATAAAACTAACGAAAAAAAATTTAAACTACAACGAGAAATAAGACTTAGTTAAGGTGGTATAAGAATTTATGACCATGTGCTAATTGATTTCATTATTTCAGGCACATTTATGGCACTTTCGATTTGTTTTTTTTTTGCATTGAAGACCATAAAATCATGATTAGTATAAGCTCCATGCAAAACAGGAAAGGTTTTACAAAGTTAACATTAGAAATAAATGTAGAAGAGAAGAATAAAAGGTAGGATTCGTTAAAGCAGAAATATAGATAAAATAGGTGAGATGGACGGACAGAAGTGGCAGAAATAGAAACCCCAGAGCACAAGTGCATAATATAGACCAAGTAGTTAAAGCTCAAACTGTATCCATTAACCATTAAAAGCTTTCAATCTAAAATCCCCATAGCATGGTGTTAAGACAATAAGAAATAATTTTTTAAAGAACTTCATTGATAACGAAATGACTAGCGAACCAAAATATTATCTGCAAGATAGTGTTGAGAGAAGAAGTACATCTAGTTATTCTAAACAATATAGTAATATAATTGTAAAAAACAACACGTATGAATTATGTAAAAAGAAAGAAACTATGAAGCAAACAAAAATATTTTTTGGATAAGATTAGTCCAAAAAAATACGTAACGGCAAACATAAACAAATATATGGGTAAAAGCACAACAAAAAAAGGGATCAAACTAAAAGGCTTCATATTTTAAAAAGTGTTATTGAATTTAAAAGCGAATGATAAAAAAAAGAAAGAAGAACAAATATAATTGGCTGGAAATGTAACGATCAAAATAAGATTATAAAGGGGTGAAAAATGGTTGGACAACTATCAAGTAATCTACAAATATTGCATCAATCATAAAACATGTAATACTAGTGAAACTAAGGGTTCAAAATAATTATTTTGAAGTACTGCAAGGTTAAATAATAAAGATAAAACTTTTGGCATAACACATTAGTTTTAGTAACATAGTAGAAAAAGAAGTAGAGCATTCAGGAAAATGAGTACCTGAATTCCTTAAAAAGAAATTACTTTAACGTAGAGAATCAATAAAACAGGTTAGCATAGTTTTACGCTGATGTATGTACGTTGATATAAGTGTTCCAAGTCTATAACACAGCTTTAAACTTTTACCTACTTTGGCCATTTTTAATGAACTTATTGAGATTTAAATAACAGTAATTGAACTTAAAATTACTAACAAACGTTTCGTATAATAGGGAAAAAAATTTTGTTAACACTACTTTCTCATTTTTTGTATCTACTAACTCATATCTTACTTATGCAATGGTNTCTATTATTACACATTTTCATAGCTTGCGTGATTTTTCTTCTTATCTTGCTTTTTATTTCACTATTAAGGTCGCTAATTTTTTGCAAACTGTATTCGACATTCTTAATTGTTTGAGAAATTTCACTAATCGGTGAAAATTCTGTTCTTAACGCAAATTTTGAGCGTAAAGCTACGCAATTTTAAACATTTTCCGGTATATAAAGATCTGTCAGATTTCGGAACATTTTCAATTTTGTTATTATTGTGGAGGTTTTGGTTACATGATGTTTGTATAGATAATATTATTTTATTGTAAGTACGATTTAGTTTATGTTTTTTTCTTATTGTTAAAACATATACTGCTTATAAAGCTTTTAACTGATAAATTATTAGGATATAAATCATTTATTTTCTGTCTAATGGTGTGAATAATTCTTTTAAGAATAGACATATGTGCATAACAGCCATCAATTTCATTATTGAGTAAACTGTAGGTAAAAGAGTGTATTAGATTTTTTTTAAATTGTTGGACGACTCATTGGAAAAGACAAAGTTATTAAGATACTTTTTCAGATGTTCAATGTATATAGGCAAATAATTTTGTGTCCTACACTTTCTTAGAAAAGTCAATTCATCCTTACAATGAGTCAAGTTGCTGTGTAGTTTCTGCAAGGTCTCAAGTTTTAAAGATAGCACAATCCATGAAGGTGTTCCATTTGTAAGAAAAATTCTTACTGGAGTTGACTACTTTCTGATCTGGGGACGGACTTCATTATGTCGTTCTGCTCTCAGTTGTTTCCATGATAACTTGAGGGTCAGTGCATAAGCACACGTTCAGTAAGAGCTAATTTAGGAGCATAAATGAAAAACTCCAAAAAGTCAGGTGTTGGTTTGAGCAACGTTCTGTTGGTCATAACGCTAACCTTATCAGGCTCACTCTATTAACAAAAATAAAAACAAAAAACACAACAATTTACGTAAATTACATTGTAGAGCTACTGTTTACAAATATTAAGATTAATTTAATAAATGATTGTATCTTATTAGTCTAACATAAATTGTAATAAAAACGACTTTTGAAAATTAAATGATTACTCACGTCTATATATAAATATAAACAATAAATATATGCTTCTTACGCATCTCGCATTAACATATCTACAATGAAGAGTTAAAAGAGATTACTTATAAAATCTTTACATGTGTTGTTGAGAACTAAGGTGTCCTCTTTTTTTATTTATTGTGTGTTTTGTAGAATGAATGAGTAACATTTCTGATATTATTCTTTTCTGTCTTTTTGGTTCGCGTATGTACACACGTTATTTACATTCGCAAGAAGCGTACATTTATTGTTTATATATATATGTGGAAATATGTACAAGATCGACATTTACGTTATTTATTTAAGGCGATCAACAGTCTGTAACGATCGTCATAACGATATAGACGTGAGTAATTATTTAATTTTGAAAAGGCGTTTTTATTACAATTTATATTAGACTAATAACATTTAATCACTTATTGAATCAATCTTAATATTTCTAAATAGTGGCTCTACAATGTAATTTACGTAAATTGTTGTATTTTTCGTAGTAGGATATCCAAAAACCCCAAAAAAAACCTTTTTAAAAATTAAAAAAAAAAAAAAAAACAGTCACAATATGTACCTGAAGCAGGGGAAAGTTGTTTTAAGTCCACATAACTCCTTTCTTCTCCTCATAATAACCTCCCCCATACATATAATTCTTATCATAAGTTACCTTTGCATAAACATAAATATTTTTATAGAATAGGACTTATACAAACATTACATGCTGCCAAAGACATATACTAAAAATATGGAAAAATTATGCTGATTGTCAGCATAATTCCAAAATTGTCGAGATTTATAAAATTGAAACTTATATTTTTCAGTATGAGTCCCGATTAATAGTAATAAATAAGGATGTGAAAATATGGACATATATGTACACTAGTGGGCTTCGCCCACTACACGCTCTGCGCATTCACCCCCAACAAGACTGATTTATTTTGAAAATCACATAAAATTAATTAATTTGATCAAACACTGCTACTGGAAGATGACATATTGTTTCTACGGAAGATAATGAATATTCCTGTTTAAAATTAATATTAAATAAAGTAAAAGACGGAACAACATTAGAATATTAAGAACATATAATGGAATCATTCAAAAAACATTTGAACACACTGTTGAAGTAATAGAATTGATGGAATATGACACTTAAATTGATTATACATTAAAAAAAGCTACTACCATCATGTTGCCTTATCGAGTGAGACAGTTTTTAGTATGGTTTTTATATTAAAATATTATGTTTGGTGAAAATATTTGGAATAAATATGAAATCCATTTTACAGAAGATTTCATTTTTAATCAAAAAAATTTTACTTTTTTGCACATAACTCAAATTCTTGTTATAAAAGGCAAGTAACAAAACTTAGAAGTTTGTAATTAGAAGTAAGAGTGTGTATGTGGAGAATGAATCGATGAAATAATAGGTCTAAATGAAAGAGAAGGTTTATGTATTTTTGGCAACACATAACATTTAGGTAAATTTGTATTAGTTTACGTTAATTGATTTTTATGATATTTATATTTTCAAAATTCGCCATTATTCAGTTTCGTTAAAATTTTGTGAACTTCTGATTCTGAAGTATTTGATGAATTCTTATTTACCATTATGTACGTAGTTTTATCGTTTAACATCGCCTCCATGTTCTGTGCATATGAGTTTTGGTCAAGGCAAACCGTTACATTTTCTTTATCTGAACGGGTAAATATAATATCTTTGTTCTTTCTACGGAACGCTCTTGTACATTTTAAATTGGAAATATTTGATCATTCAATGTTACCCAGTTTTAATTTTCTATTATTACACATTTTCATAGCTTGCGTGATTTTTCTTCTTATCTTGCTTTTTATTTCACTATTAAGGTCGCTAATTTTTTGCAAACTGTATTCGACATTCTTAATTGTTTGAGAAATTTCACTAATCGGTGAAAATTCTGTTCTTAACGCAAATTTTGAGCGTAAAGCTACGCAATTTTAAACATTTTCCGGTATATAAAGATCTGTCAGATTTCGGAACATTTTCAATTTTGTTATTATTGTGGAGGTTTTGGTTACATGATGTTTGTATAGATAATATTATTTTATTGTAAGTACGATTTAGTTTATGTTTTTTTCTTATTGTTAAAACATATACTGCTTATAAAGCTTTTAACTGATAAATTATTAGGATATAAATCATTTATTTTCTGTCTAATGGTGTGAATAATTCTTTTAAGAATAGACATATGTGCATAACAGCCATCAATTTCATTATTGAGTAAACTGTAGGTAAAAGAGTGTATTAGATTTTTTTTAAATTGTTGGACGACTCATTGGAAAAGACAAAGTTATTAAGATACTTTTTCAGATGTTCAATGTATATAGGCAAATAATTTTGTGTCCTACACTTTCTTAGAAAAGTCAATTCATCCTTACAATGAGTCA